TTTTATGCTGAGCCATCTTGTAGTCCTCTGGTTTTTTGAGGCAGAGTCTCTCATTAAACCTGGAGCTTAACAGTTTGACCTAGGCAGCTGACTAGCAAGCCCTGGGGATCCTTTTCTCTCTGCTTCCCCAGTGCCAGGATTATAGGTTCAGCAGAGAAATTTTAATTGTTGTTTGTTTTGTTATTGTCTTTTGAGATAGGGTTTGCAGTGTAACCCAGGCTAGTATCAAGCTTGAATTGTCCAAACTCTTGAGTGCTAAGATGATCACCATACCCAGCAGGCACTCAGTTTTATTAAAGATAATAAACAAGCAAACAAGAGTCAGACTTTTCTGAAGCAAGCCTGACTTTCAGCATGCTTGGAAGATGTCATTCTCATCGCCCTCCAGGACACCTTCAGGTACTAGACTTTGCCAGCTTATTTGCAAAGCTCTTTCCAGAAAGATCACTGATGACCTTTGTATTACATCAGAGCAGACAGGGACCAATGTTCTGATTTCCATTCAATGAGCCCCTTCTATGAGCATGGCACTCATATACCCACCCAGGTTACAAAGACAAAGTCCTGATTTAAATTGTCTTAAACAAACAAACAAACATGGAGGAAGAAGTGCTGGGGAGAACCTCACGTAGCTTGTTGTGAAGGGAGTTGAACAGTTTGCCCTGGGAAATGTCTCCTTAGACCTTGTCAAATAGCCAGGGCTCAGACCTGGAGTAGTGCCTGTGTCTGTCTCTCTCTGTTGGCTTTGTCTCTCCCAAGAGGCTAATCTCCTTCCTTTACTGGAGAACTTTGCTGCTGTCTAACTTAGCCTCACATCTTCCAGCTCTTCTTCCCAATTCCAGTTCTGGAAAAATCATAATTGCAGCATAGGACGGGTCTGCTCCTTTAACAGAGGACTCTGTAAAAACACCATGAGAGGGAACCTGTAGGTTTTGGGGTGTATTGGGTCAAAAATTCCAAAGATTTCTTCCCCAATCCCAGGATTCGTCCTAACAAAACTCAATGGAAAGGTGCTATTATTTCTGTTCTAGTAATGGTAAAACTGTGCCTCCTGGTCTGCAAAAAAGAAACAGGAAGGGAAGGAAGAAAGTAGAGACAATTGTGCAAGGTCCCTGCTGCTTCTCTGCTGTGCCAGTGACCTGACATGGCCAGGATTTGGCTCAAAGTGTATCTCAGGAGACAAGACACTTGAAGGTCATGGCTATAGTTTGTGGTGTGCAGAAGCACAAAGATACTGTCATGACTTTTGCTGAGTCTTGGAAGCAAATTCAGTGTGTCACTTTGTGTCTCTGAGGACAAGTGTTGAGTTGTCCCGTGATACCCCAGGTGCAGCCTGCCACCACACTGCAGTGTTCCTCTCAGAGACACCAGCAGAAAGGGTCACAGTAGATGAAACTGCTGTCCTGTGATACCCCAGGCTCAGCCTGCCACTACACTGCAGTGTTCCGCTCCGAGACACCAGGCAGAGAAAAGGTTTTGGGTGATGGAAACAGACATTTTGGGTGATTCATTCTGCTTTTAATCTGGATCCAGTTTGAAATGGGAAAGTGCCATATGTAAATGGTGTCCAGGAATGGAACTAGAATCTTCCAGGGCATTTTCTGATTATCTGTCTCAGATGAGCATGTTAGTGTCTTTATTTTAAGAAGAATCTTCTCCTTCCATAGCTCTTGCACTTCTCCCAGGAAAGAAATGTTCTGTGATGCAGTTGACTAAACACTGGGTCTAGTTGAGAAGGGACTTCCTCTGTAGAGTGAAAATTTCAGAGGGAGCATTTGACTCTGGAAAACGAATTACATTAACTTTCATGTGCTTCAGTACATTCTTATAGCAAGCAAAGGCTGAAAACTGGCAGACCATTTATCTTTCTTGAAGTCTGTGAAATATAAGATTGTGTGGGTCTTGTTTTTCTGGAAAAGGAAAGCGATGCCCTCAGCAGAAGCAGACGGGAGAGGATACAGGACAGGAGTCTCGTTAGTGTATAACCTGCCCTTTTGGCTTCGGTTTTAAGGTGTTTAGCTATATCCCATCAACATGTCACTGTAGCATAGCACACCTTAAACATCACAGAACGCCACACAAAGCCATGACCAAGAAGGAAAGTCCTTTTTGACAGTCTGTTGCCTGTAAGGACTCTATGGTATTCTGACATCATAACTCAAAAGCATGTTTAGAAGCCTTCAGTGAGTTTAGGGTGCCCTGACCCCTCTCCTGGAGCGGCACCTTGGCATTCAACTTGGTTACCCAGGCAAATGCTATCAGGCTGAAGTGTGGGGCTGTGATTGATTTTGAAACACTGCTTGTGATTGTTCCTGAAGTTAGGGATGGTAGACCACAGCACCCTGATGCAGAATAGTCTTAGCACTATCACTCAGTGCTGACGTTTTAAATTATTTGGCAAAGATTTGTTGAATTTTAGCTGTGCTATGTATAGCTTTATCTAGACACTCTTGGTAAAGTGACCATATGACCAGCTTTATTTATTTATTTACTTACTTATTTCTTTGTGTGTGGGGGGGTGTTTTGCATATCCCCTGGAACTGGAGTTGCAGACAGTGTGAGCTGTCATGCTAGTGCTGGGAACTGAACCCGGGTCCTCTACAAGAGCATCCAGGGCTCAACTGCTGAGACATCTCGCCAGACCCACTAGGGCCACTTTAGAGGGTGGGAGTGAGCTATCTATCCATAATTACACTGAGCAACACAATAGCCCCCACACTTGGGGGCAGAGGCAGAATCATAGTTTAAGGCCAACCTCAACTGCATAGTGAGTCTATGTCTTAAAAATCTAAAGTAGGGGCTGGGGATCCGGCTCAGTAGAGTGCTTGCCTGGCATGAGGGAAGCACATGCATGGTAGTAATTACATGTCTGTAATCTTGGCACTAGAGGCAGGAGGATTAGAAGTTTAAGGTCCTCCTAGGATACATAGTGAGTTCTAGGGAAGTCTAGGCTCCATGAGATCATCCCCCTCAAAAACAAAACAGTGCAAGCCAACCTAAAATAACAATAACAGTAATAACTTTAGCATTCATGATGCAGTCATCACATGGTGGGACTATCCTAGCTAACCCTGAATGGCCAGTTGCCACGCACATTCATGGCCTTGGGTATGTACAACTGTTAGACAGCTAGTCGTTCCATAGCAAATCAAGAACTTTATAAAGGTCCTGGGTTCTATTCTTAGCACTACATAAACAAACAAAAAATTATAAAAGCAACAGTCCTCCTCTACAATTATCCCAGGACTCCACAGCCTGTTCCCCCCCTTCTGAACTATTTACATAGCAGAGTGTTCAACATCTCACACTTTGAGAATTCCTCCGTTCATTTTTTGCTGTGTTTCCATGCTTCATTAGTCATAGCAAAAACTTGTCAAAGGTAGTCTGCTGGAGTCCAACAAGCCTTTTCGTTCATTCGTTCCTCCCTCCCTCCCTCCCTCCCTCCTTCCTTCCTTCCTTCCTTCCTTTTTTTTTTTTTTAAGGTCTCCTTAAGTAGCTCAGGCTCACTTCCAACTCATGGCAATCCTCCTGCTTCAGACTTCCAAGTACTGAGATTATAGACATGTGTCACCATGTCTAGCTCAATCAGCTAAGGGCCAGATGGCAATTATTTTCATCTTTGTGGGCCATGTGATATTGTAGCTGTCCCTTGCTGGCATTGTATGATGAAAATGAGCACGTTAGGCTGTGTTCACAAACCTCATCATTTTCCTATGCAAGTGGCCGGCGAATCCAGGCCGTTGTTTGCCAGCCAGCTTTGTATCACTCTCCTCCCGATGTCATCACTGTGTGCTCCCCTCTCCCTGTCTCCCTGTAATCTGCTTCTGCCACAGTTTCCAGCATCTTCCCATTGCTGGTGGCAGTCCTCTGTCTTAATCCAGTGTAAGGGGTGAGTGCTCTTTCTCATCTGCATGCACTTGTTTGGTTCTGGTGATGTCATAGTCCTTGGTTTATCTGCTGATGGTGGTTTTCTCTCTTGAAAATTTGCCGCCGCCTTTTCTTCCTGACAGCTGGAATATACAAGGGCTCAGTTCTCCCTCCCTCACCTCGCCTTCCCTCTCCCCTCATACAGGCACCTAATCAGGATGTGCTTGAGTGACTGAAAGAGGGAGTGAAATTCTGACCGACAAGACTGAACGGCTGTGGGTTATCACAACCCCAGTCCACCAGTCCTCCACATGTGTAGCTGTAGCGTTCTTCCGCCTTCCCTCCTGTTCCCTCCTATAGGCGATGTGTAAGCTATAATGTCTTTTGTGTGTCCCACCCATCTTGGTGGGGATTTATTTCCTTAGAAACATTTGGCTCACTACTAGCTTCTGACCTCATTTCATTGGTTTCTAAGTAGGACACCATAAATTTCTAAGACTTGCCACAAAATTGGAGTCCCCATACCAGTCTTGATTTTGTTGTTGGTGGTGATTGTTGACATAGTCTTTTAGAGTCATTTTGTCGGTGAGGAAACTGATACTCAACCAGTACTTAGAGCTTACCTCACTTCTAACTTGGAGCCACTGCTGTCTTCACAGGTGTGAAAGGTCATGCAGACATTGAGAGAAAGATGTGTATGTTTTTGTTACCAATAACATGCATAGTAATCACCAAAATAGTGAGACTAGTGTAGTTTTAAATTGAAACTTTATGCCTAGCACAGTAGCACTGGGAAAGGCAAAGGCAGAAAGATTACTGCAAGTATGAGATCAGCCTGATTTGCAGAGAGTTCTAGTCCAACCATGGCTACATAATAAGGCTCTGTCTCAGAACACCAAAAACCGACTTTAAATTTTATGATGTAGATTGCTAAGAGTTCTTAGAATTTGCTTGTGCTCACATGCAAGGCTTTATCTCACTCTCCTGCTCTGGTACAGTGAAACCATAGTGCAAGAACAATGAATCAAGAGAGTTTCTGGTCAAAATTTTTGGGAGACTGAAATCAATTATAGCATAGTGCCTGGTGCCTCCTCTCCTTGCTCCTCATTTTTTACCTACTTCTCTTATTCTAGGCACTTGAAGAGGCCCAGAAAGCCATTCAGCAGCTCTTTGGCAAAATCAAGGATATCAAAGACAAAGCAGAAAAATCAGAGCAAATGGTGAGTTTAGGTTTCTTCCTTATGTGTTTGCACCCAGAGTGGGAAGTTAGTGTCTCATCCAGTCACAATAATTAGGTCCTTTCTCACCCTGCCTGCCAGCTGCAGTCATGCACTCCTCTCTGTGAATGCGTCCTGACTGCCTCAGAGGAGCCGCTAGACAGGGGTGACTCACGGGCCTTGCTGCCCTACATTTGCAGCCGCTTTCAAGTAGGAAACAATCCGCTACCACCCCTCACCACAAATAGTTTCCTAGTCATTTTGGTTGTCTTTCTCTAGCGTGTTTCTAGCTTGTGTTCCCCAGTTAAGGTATCTGCGATGTCATCTGGTAAGTAGCTCACTAACGCTGGTCCCGGGTCTGGAGTGAGGGAACCATCCCAGGATGCATGCACACAGCTTTCATTAGTTCCCACTCTCTGAATTTGTAGGTGATGAGTTCAGAAGCGCCCTGATGACCAGGAACCTAGCCTTCACCACAGCTGCTCCTCAGGAGCCACCAGGCTGTGCTGGGTTTCTGGGCTGAGATTCTGAGTCATCTGATACATCTAAATGACCGTTTTCTCAGCTATGAAATAATAATAATGTCTGCCTCACAGGATCCCTGAGCAGAGCGCCTAAGGATCTGCATTTCTTCAGGAGTACAGTACATACCACCAACAGTATAAATGTCAGGTGGCACTAGCAGAGATGACATTTGCTAGAGTTTATTGTACTTAAGTTTGTTTGCTTTCTAGACAGGGTTTTACTATGAAGCTCCTGCCTGGAACTCTGTTAGATCAGGCTGGCCTTGAATTCATAGAGATCCGCTTGCCTCTGCCTCTCAAACACCTAGCAGATATGCTCAGCTTTTATGCTCAACAAGGACATTATGATTCTAAGTTGCTGTTCTGGACTATGCTCCCTCTTCCAGCCAAGTGGGACACAATGATAGGGGAATTAGTACTTGGCAAAATCTCTCGAGGTGCAAAGCACAGTGCCAATTCCTTTATACAACTGATTTGATGTAGCCCTCTTGACAATCTTACAGTGAGATTTAGTATCATTGCTCTTAATTTATTTATGTACTTAGAGTACTCATTTTGTAGATGAGGAAACTGATACTCAACAAGAAAATTGTTCTAAGACACAGAATGTGTAAGTGGTAGAGCTGTGGGATTCAGCCTTATATTTGTCTGAATTTGAACCCACCATATCCTGCTCTGTCCTTTTCGGATGCCCATAAGTTATCTTTGCAATTAATTTTAGCAATCTGTTTTGCAGAATAGCCTTTCGTACATTTACCCTCAGCACCCCTTGCCATTAAAGTTTCTGTTTAGGGAACTGGAGAGATGGCTCAGTGGTTAAGAGCACTGGCTGTTCTTACAGAGGACCTGGGTTCAATTCCCAGCACCCACATGGCAGCCGCAACTTACAACTACCTGTAACTCTGCCTCCAGGGGATCTGACACCTTCACACAGATATACTTGCAAGCAAAAAGCTGAATGTGCATGAAATAATAATAAATAAATTATTTAAAAAAAAAAAGAGTTAAAGGTCTTGGCTGTGTGCTGAAGCTCTCTCTCAAAAATAACAGTAGGATTGAAGCAAAGTAGCCCAGAAAGAGACACAGGGATTGCTTTCAGAGGATGATAACTTCAGTGTTAGAAGTGCATGATCAGATTACAGAGCCAGATGAGTTTCTGGTGTACTTTGTCATTCCACAGCTTCTTTTGACCCACACTCAATTTCTTTTTCCTGTGGTGGTAATAGTGATAGATCCCAGGGCCTTGTGCAGTAAAGGCTTGTGGCTATGCAATAGACTATCTTTACCAATTTGTCTAGAGTGGTTAAACTAAAAACCAGGTCATATGAGCTTAACTCACTATAGGATTTTCCACCTTACTGAGACATGTATGTAACTAATGAGTAGAATGTTTGTGCCTGGTATCCATGGAACTCCTTTCTTTCCAGGTGTCATAAAGCCTGGGAAACCAAACCAAATTGCTATTAAGAAGGTTTCGCCTGGGCTAGTAAGTAAAGATGCTTACCATCAAGCCTAAGGGCCTCCTGAGTTTGATCCCTGAGACTCACAAGTTGGAAAATAATAATCCCACAGGTTGTCCTTTTGGCCTTCATATACACACACTGTGGCATGTGCACACACACATACACACACTCATACATACATTCATGCATGGTTCTTGGTCGTTGTAGATTCAACCTAGTGAAAGACTATATGTTAGTGAATTGAAGGGCTTGCCCCAGCTTTCTCTGCTGTATCCACTTCCTCTAAATGAAAGACACTTGCATTCCCATATCATGCTCCATTCTCTTGAGTCTGCCAGAAAAACTGGCAGCTTTTGCTTTCTAAACTGCCCTTCTCATCTTAGGAGGTTGCATGTTAAGTTTGCCAAAAGCACTGGATTTTTACCTTTAAAAAAAAAAAAAAAA